TGTCTTCTTAAAAAAGAAAAAAAAATGTTTGCGCAGTCGATAGGATTCGAACCTGTGCGGGAAGATCCCAATAAATTTCTGGTAGGGGCTCTGAGATGTGGTAGTAACTCAAGAGCTGGGGGTGTCATGGATGAAACGTTGCATGTAGCCGCTCAACTCCTATACAGGAGAGGGCGCTGCGGTCAAATGCGTATATAATCGCGTTAAACTTTGCATGCGTTGGCTCAAAGTTCATAAGCGAGAGGGCGCTGCGGTCAAATGCTCAAATGCGTATATAACCAAGCTCCATACCACAGATTCTCTTTCTGACATGGATGAAAACGAACGAAAGGCTCGGCATGCTGCGGCTCAGCGTCTACGCCCCACCAGAGCTTCGCCCCAATCAACATCGTTCACCACCTGAAGATGCGGTCATTTTTTATCAATCATGTGCGTTCTAGCGATTTATTCGGTTACCGCATATCACCGCAAGGCTCCTATATATACTCCAAAACTTTACAATTTTGACAACCCCTTCTGCTATACTTCGTTTCAGCTAAGAAGGACACTGGGAAGGGACAAAGAAAACCAAATGCTGCTTCCAAAGGCGTGCCTATCAGTGACAAACACGAGCATTCAGTGACGACATATAGGTCTATAGAGCGTCGGATAATGACGACATCCTTTGAAGCGTATGACTGTCACTCAAATGTTGGCTTGGAACACCCGTAATTTGGTGGGGCGTTCAAATCTTCATAAATAGATATTAATTTCTAACACTTAGGAAGATAGCATAGTGTTGTTGCACGCTCCTGTCGTTTCAGTTCTCTATTAGTTCAGACCAAGCACGTCATCAACAAAATAAAATGTGCTAAAATTCTGAAATTCTTTCACCGATTAGGTTCAAAATACATCATATTTCTTATTTATTTGGTGTTTTATGTGTTGCTAGAGTCCCACTCACTAGTTAGAGCGAACGCGATGCAAATTAAAAAAAAAATGGCTAGAATGCTTTGCAGGGCCCCTTTACGTCCAGACGCAGCCGATGTTACAAGCGCGAGCATGTGGTCTTGAACAATGCTTACACTCCACGGCCGCACAATCGTGCTTGGTAAGGACGCTGAAAACCCGGAGCTTGTTCTTGTAGGTTCTGCTACACTCACGCTTAAAGCGAAACGGGGTATTGTGTTGAGAACATCACATCTTACCTGAGAACTGAATTGTTTAACATGGTTTGCTAGTGACATCACCGTACTATATGCTAGTGGTCAATGAGATTCCTCTTTTGCTTAGAAAATCCAATCCCGTGACGCAAAAAGCACTCTGCGGAAGGTTCGCCTTCAGTGCAACCTAGAGCCACTAAATTAGCCGCCATTGTTGTGGGAGCCGCCATTTCGAGGCTTGTGCAGAGCATACTTAACTACCAATCGTCATGATTTAAAAGTGCGACTTCCTCAGTATTAATTCGGTGTTAGAAAGCTCATGTAATATTGCTTCTTTTTGTCACGAACTGTTCAAACAATTGTGGAGGACGGAAAGCGTTTCCTGTGATTTCAGATAAAGTTTCACATAACTGACAACCATGATTTTAAGCCCCAATATGGCCAAGTGTCGTTACTCTGAAGCGTAGCTTATTTAGTGTCACTAGTGAAATCTTTGTATTCAAAAACAAAAATTATTCTGGCTTGACGTAACGGCGCGTACGTCTGACTCCACGAAAACGCGCTTTCTCGCCGGAGTGATTTTGCAAAAGAAGTAGTTTTGCGGGATAACGCTGTCTGGGCCTGTGCCGAAGATGTGGAGCAGAAAAACCTATAGACCACAGTACGATTTTAAATCCCACCCTTTTTTTATTTTTATGATGCTTTTCCAGAGAATACTTCTTAATTACGAGGGATTCTCTCTCCGTTTGGGGGTGCGAATTCGACAATTATATTCATGTCATTTGTTAACAGTAATTTTCCATTTCTTTTTAAGTTTAAACAAAAGTGCAATAATTTGAGCGGCTACCAACTTTCGGCTATCCTATGAGGCCACTAGAATATTTCTTTTCAGGTATACCTGCCGCACACACTTGTAGTTCTCTTTATCATGTGATTAGTAAGCCATATTTAGCCATTTCAATGCTTCTATTCTCGGGGACAACTTGCTAAGACAGTGCAGCAACAACGAAAACATGTTTGGGTGTCTCAATGAGTACATGTAAAATGGTTCGTGCAACAATTTTTTTCATTTACAGTAAGTACCGCTAAGAGCTGATCCCTGACGTTGATAACTTCCAAAATCACCCATTATGTTTCCTCTCTTCTCAATGGCGGACGTCGAAAGAATAAAGGAAAGAAACAGTTGTTCCTCCTCAAGTCGCTAGTAGAACAAGCGGCCACGTGATCTGAAGCTAATGGTAGTATGCCGTCAGTGTTCATCACAGTCATGGGATGCAATCGGCAAATAATAAAGCATGGTTTGAGCTAGAGCTATTCTCATCTATTCTTAGCTATTTAGCTATTCTCATCTTTGATTGAGCACGAGCCCTTACCCGAACCTTTGGAGATGCTGATTGTCATGAACCCGGGCACTGCACTCGGGCTCATGACAATCGAGTACGTAACGGTGTCATGTGACTCGCGGTGAGAAGTCGTGATGCCTTGTGACGTCAAGTTGTCAACAACGCTAGCAAATCTAGTGACGTTGTCAATTTAAGTAGACCTGATGCAGTAAGTCACGCGATTACGTCACGGTGTCATGTGGCGTGAGACTACTTGACAACGTGTCTCGACATAATCATGTCACGTGAGCGCTTGACAGATGATTATTCGTACTTCCAATACCAAAGCGCCACAAAGAACTACAATTTCTCACACATTGCAATTCAATATATAACAATTTGATCACTAGAAAGAGAAACAGCTGCCAGTTTTAATTTCTCAAAAGTTCATTTTGTAATTAAAAAAATTACCGTGAACCGTTTTGAACCGCTAACCGTTATATTTTTCCGGTTCAGTTCCAAGATGGCCTCGACGATTTCGGTTCGGTGTAGTTCCGGTTCGGCTAAAAATAACGGTTCGGTTCCGGTTCGACACTGAGCTCCGGAAACTGTTCGGTCTGATCGCTTCTGTGAAAAGTTGCCCGTTTCCAGGTGTGAATACAAGTTGGTTGTTATTATCTTTCGGGGTTTCTACTTGTAGCGGTACAGAAACCTCTATGAGTAAGATCAACTTCCTATTACATTTTCAACAAATGCGTTTTGGTTGATAGTTCAGTCATTTGGGCCAACCAAGCTGCCTTTCGTTAAGGTGCATTCCTGGCTTGAGACGTTTCTTGCAAAGAGGCTGGATAATTTAAATCTGAAGGACTAAATGTCCTAGGTGTAAAGGTTGAAGGTCTGGGGGTGTTCAAATGGCTGAGGTGGATTGCAGGGCTGATGAGATTAGTATTGCAGGGTGGGTTTCAAGGGTAGGAGGGTCCCCTAGCACGTGCAGCCTGAATGCAAATATATATAAAAAAAACGTTCAGCCTTTCCACTCTGGTGAAGACGGAACACCAGCGAAGCTGCACTATAGCGGGAATGCGCTCGTCACGTGTGTTTCTTCTTCGTCCCTGTCTGTTTTTCGCGCTATTTACTACGATAAATTGTCACCAACTCGCCCAACTATTCATTCGTCTATGATAGCTGGAATGTTTGCTCCCATCAATGAGAGACGGCGGCAATCAGACTGGTTGTCTGGTTGCCGCCGTCGCTCGTGGATGGCGGTAGCTGTCCAGTGTTGCGTGTAGTTTTCTGTTGACATTTGTTTGGTACTGGACGCGAAACTGGGGAAACTAGCCCTTAGCAGCTCAGCTGTAAAAGTGAAATTTATTAAACCTGTTAACTGCTGAGTTTAGCTCACTCGGAGACAACTAGTGACTTTAGGATAACTCTTTGGAAGTTTGGCTTGATTCAACCGCTCCATAGTTTTCACCCAATGCGGTTTCGACGGTCTAGATTTTTTATAGCTTTGTAAAACTTTAGAAGCTAGATGTTTTGATATTTAGGCTCAGAATTATCGGCTGGATTCCTGGAAACACGCAAGTTTCTTTGTCGAGACAAGTATGATAACCACAATTTCACAAGATTTTCCCATGAATCATAACTGTTGTCAGTCAGTCAAAAACCATGGGTTTAACTGTACCCATGTCTAGGGGATTGGAAAGGAATATACTTTGTTTCGTGCGGTGGTGTAACTATGTTACCAATTTCAAAGCCGTATACTTCCAGATTGAAACTTTATTTTGAAGAAAAATTGAAGTCTGTCTCCTTCGTATTTTATGGGCGTTAGTTCTTTCACAATGCTGTACGACCCCCTCCGAAAACTTTTATATAACTGTTCTATATCTATGTAAAACATGCCATTAACGATAGCATATCTTACACCTTTAGAGCACTTTGGAATTTTAATCCTTACATAGGTGCCGCAATTCTGAATGAACTTTGAATATGTGAAAGGCTTGCGTTTACAGAATCGTTTTTAAATTGAATGGTAATGTCAAATTTTTATAATATTAGCTACCTAGATTACTTTAAGAGCGCTTTAGAGGACACGACGTGAACAAATTAAAATGAGTTTTGAAAACCAGCTTAAATATGCAGCCACAGAAATGGAATAAAAGGTCGGTGTAGGGCTGTCTTTCTCATTTTAAAAATCAACAACATGAAAGACAAACGTTTACCTAACATTTGGTTTGTAGTGATTTGTTTCATTTGGCAATTATGTCAGCATTCAGTATCGGCAAAAAAAATATCTTTACACCAATGTGCCAGGCAAGTATTATGTGTTTTTAGACTCCAGGTATCAGTTTTTCAACCGCCCAAGTCAGCGACAACTATTGCAAAATGATATATTCTGGAATGTTTTTATCCATTTTAGCGGTAACTTGATGGATTCAATATATGGCCTATCATTGAAATAGGGAGGGTATCCTTTTATTTAGCGTACATTGTCTGTGGCCAGCATCTCGACTTGAATAGAGTCATCAATCTAATCAGATCCTCTTTTATTCTTCTTTGCTTATTACCATCTTGTCTACGCATTCACCCAGAATACAAGCCTGTAACAAAAATAGAAAGTTGTTTTAGAATTTCTGTGTTAATAAGCAGTTTGTTGATACCTTTAGATAATTTACTCTTGGCATATAACGAGATAGATATTCTGGAAAGAGAAGTTTTATATTTTTATTGACAGTTTCACCAGGCCTTACACGTTTCTGGATCATACATTATATTTATAACACATCATTGATTGGCAAGTTTACTTCAAAATGGTGTTTAAAATGTGATAGCAGAATGAGGAAATTATTCTTATATTTTTCGTAAACCAGCAAGTGTAATAATGTATAATAAAATGCGTAGATACATTAGTAGCGCATGTATATTTTCATCTCATGGTGTACCATAAAATAATAGTTAAAAAAGCGCGAAGTTTTTATTTATTAATAGAATACTACTAGAGGCCGGCATTCAATATGTAGGCACCAAAAGAAAAAGCCTGGTAACTGCAGGGTGTCCCGCAAAAAATTACAGGTTGAACCAGATGTCAAAGTTTCAGACCTAACCGGTATGTCATTCAAAAGTTATCAGCGATTTCCTAAAATGTCAAACCGGAAAATGGCGGCCAAGAGCGCTCTGGAATACATGGAGCTGAATATCGCCACATACCGAAGACGTGTAGAAACGAGCCGCATTTTTTCATCCAAATTATCAAAAATCACATAACCTTTGTATAAAATCAAGGTTAGTTTAGAAATGTTGACATCTGGCTGGTTTGGGCCGCCGCTACATTCAGGCAGGAAATTAGCTTTTGCTGAAACGCAGTTTATTTTGAAGGTAGCATAAATTCTGTAAACATTCCTTTGGGACACGCTCCTTTTCACATTACGGGGAACGATGACCTGTGAAGCCTGAATGGCATAACACGGTCTCTGTATTATTTTCTGGAACTACAAGTTTGAAGTATTGTTTTAAAGTTTAAATTCATGGCCTTCTTTTTCACATAATTACGTTAGTGAGCGCTTGTTTTTTTTTTTTATAATTCTTTAAGCTGCAAATCTACACAACTTGCCTGGGCCAGAGGCAGATTTCACTGTTTGTATATAACGTAATTAGGAATAGATAGTTAATTTCAGTGTATAAATTTTTTTCACTGCGTTGACATTACACGAGAATTAATTGAATTTACAAATTTACTTCATTTTACATTTGATAGATAAAAAAATATTGAATTATCTAATATTTTAACGCATCATAAACCGTTGAAAGCTTATCTCGAAATCAAAACCTAAAACGTCCTGTCGTAACCATGCAACAAGTAATTAAGTCACTTGGGCCAACTTATCACACTTTTTTTCTTCTCTATTGAAATAGTGGCTCTCGGATGAATTTTTGTTTATTCTGGCCCGAGATGTACTCCAAACTAATTCTTGGCCTTCCTTTTTTCAGTGCGTCAAAGAAAAAGGAACAATCCAATTTAATACTATAACGCACGGTCATCCTAACATGGTACTAATCAACATCCCCATATGGACAAAAAAAATAAATCGTACTTCAAGAGCATTGCTACACAACATACTCACAGGAACCTTTAAGAGTACATATTTTTAAAGGTATCTATAAAGAAATGGCCGAGTAGGCTGACACTCTTGTGATCGGGAAGGACTCGGTCCTTGTAATAATTTAATTTGCAAAATTTACCAGAACAATACTCACTTTCTTTTTGTCTTTTGTGCAAGGTGTACCATCGACTACAGCGAGTCTCCACCAGTTATTTTTCCCGATGCAGTGTACCTCGCAGTTTTGAACACCCTTAATACCGTACGACTGTAAAGAACAAATATTCGAAATTAAACACTAGAGCTAGTTTGGGTCTTTAGCGCAGAAATGTAACTAAATGCGTGAATGGCCAAGCGTACCACGATTGCATTCTTCGAAACACATTTCTTAGAAAATTGAGTCAGTAGAAAGCAGTAAATGTAGCGAAAGGTTTAGTGTACTCGTTACCGGTTCTGAATAGGCAGAGTGCACACCTGGAGAGCACACTTAAGGCTGGTTCACACATTTGCGTCGACCGCGTTGCGCTGCGTTGCGTCGTGCAGCATAGCGCCTCCCTATTGGCTTGTCATAAGTGTCGTCATAGCAATACAGCTCGACGCAAGCAGTCTCAACGAGATGCAAGGGGTTGCAGTCGCACTCGAACGCAACTGTGTGAACAAGCCTTGAGAGTGCACACTTATCTAAGACGATTTTTAAGATAGAAATATTGTTTTGGGGTTGTGTCGCTGATTTAGTTGATCTTCTAGACTGGTTACTTTGTAATGGGCGCCATGTTGTTTTTTTTCTTTAGTATCTAGCATTGTTCTACTGTTATCTGGAACATTTCTGTGTTACTGACTGTTAGACAATTTTTCTAAATAAACCTAGTTCTTTTTTTATTCCTGTGTACCCTGCTAGGCATTTATCTCGTGATGCTAAAAATTGAAATTTTATGATTCTGAGGCGCCTATGTGTCAAAACCAGAACAGTGTTAAACTATCCATCTAATTGCCTTCCTAACCCACTGTTCTTATTAAAATGAAGGAACAAACTCACTGAACATTTAATGGTAAAATAAATATCGCCCTCTACATATGAAAGAAGGACGTGACTGATATCCGTATTCTCATTGAGCTAGGCGTGCAAGCGTAGATATTGAAACACGCTTTTCCTACCTTGCTTTACGCTTGCGAAAAGCAACAAGCTAAAAGCACTATTTACGCATTTCAATTGACAAGGCAGCGTAATATATCGCGCTGTGTCTTTTACAGTGCAGAAGAGCTCTAGCTAAGATGTCAGGCACTTGACGGAGTTTAACCTTTTCGTAGTTCGGCGTGTCAGAATCAGCATTGCTTGGCTATTTTCACTATGTTTTCAGCTTTACGTGATAATAAGCTACACGGCCATTCTTTCCGCGCTCAATTTGCGGAATCACGTTTCATTCACGTTTGCTCTTAAAAAAAAGAAACAGAGGCAGGTGAATTTGTTCTCTGTAATCGTCTACCGTGCTTTTTTTTTTATTCATCCGAATTTAAGTCACTTTACCTGGCACTTCACATTTGATTTCGTACGCTCGACTACTCCAAAATGCAGATCTACATTCTCTGCTCATGTAGTTATTTTTGCCATTAAAGTTTTTGAATAGTGTTGTCGGCGGTGTTCTATAAACGCCGGAGGAAAAATGCACGCGTCCGAACCAGAGCTTTGGCTAGAGTCAACCTCTTTCTCTTTATTTTCCTGGCTCCCAAGCCACGAGCGCTGGCAGAGGCTGGCGCTCGTGAGAACCAGCATTGCGAGCCTAGCGCATCTGTCTGTGTCACTATAGGATCCCCCCTCTAGTTGCGCGGAGCAAAAGTTGTGGTTGTGCTCCACGTAACGATCTTCTTGGAACCAGGTTGCTGGTGGGTGTTGGTGACTTGGGTAGTTGTTCTGGACAGTTCAAGCGGGAAAACGACAGGATTTGTCACGGAGGAAGCTAAATAGGCAGGTTTCACGCGGTCCAGCGTGACCACATCGTGACGTCCGTTGATGTTGACCGTGATGGTTTTTTCTGTTCGGGAAAGAACTTCATACGGTCCGTCGTATGGTGGCGTGAGGGGTGCTCGTACAGCATCTCTTCGCACGAATACGTGTGTACAGGTCTGGAGGTCGTCGCTAACGAAAATCTGCCGTGAAGTCTGTTGTCTGGGTGGCACTGGTCGCAGGGAGGAAAAGAAATTTCTCATCTCTTGAAGATAGGATGGGATGTCAGGATCTTCCGATGGTACATGTGTGAGAAATTCTCCAGGCAACCTAAGCGTAGCGCCATAGACCAGCTCGGCGGAGGTGCAAGCGATGTCTGTTTTGAAGGTAGAACGGATTCCCAGGAGGACGAGAGGAAGGTGGCTAACCCAATGAGCACGATCTTCTTTCGTCATCAGTGCTGCCTTGAGTTGGCGATGGAGCCGTTCAACCATTCCATTGGATGAAGGGTGGTATGCAGTGGTGTGTACGTGGCGTACGCCCAAGATCTTGGTGAGGACTGTGAAAAATTTACATTGAAACTGTCGGCCACGGTCGGTCGTGATGGTGGACGGACAGCCAAACCGCGCGATCCATGTAGATAGGAAGGTGTGGGCGACTGTCTCCGCTGTTATGTCGGTGAGCGGAACAGCTTCCGGCCATCGCGTGAACCTGTCCACACATGTCAAAACGTATCGGAAGCCGCTTGACGATGGTAGAGGTCCCACAATATCAATGTGGACGTGATCAAATCTGGCATCTGGAGGTCGAAATGCATGCAGCGGTGTCTTCGTGTGTCGAAGTACTTTGGAACGTTGACATTTGCTGCATGTTTTGGTCCATCGACGGATGTCAGCATTAATCCGGGGCCAGATGTATCGTGCCGTAACGAGGCGTTGCGTTGCACGAATGCCCGGATGACTAAGATCATGAATGGAATGGAAGATGGCTTGTCGAAATCGTTCGGGTATGTATGGTCTAGGTGTGCCGGTTGACACGTCGCAGACAAGCTCGCAGTTGGCGAGTGGCAGTGTGACGGGTTGGAGCTGCAGAGATGTAGAGGACGCTCGTAGCGTTTGCAGCTCGGAGTCTTCCTGTTGTGCGGAGGCCAGTTCCGAAAAACTGACAACAGGAGGTATTGAAACACCGTCAATGCGTGAGAGTGCGTCTGCTGGCGTGTTGTCCGTTCCGGCGACATGGCGTAGATCAGTAGTATACTCGGAGATATACGAGAGGTGTCGAATTTCTCTGGCGGAGTAGGAATTGTGATTTCCCACGAATGCGTAAATCAGGGGCTTATGGTCAGTTAGCACGTGGAAAACTCGGCCTTCCAAGAAGTACCGGAAGTGCCGAACGGTCGCATAAATTGCAAAGAGCTCGCGTCCAAACGTGCTGTAGCGTGTCTCTGCAGGTTTGAGCTTTTGTGAGAAGAATCCAAGTGGATTCCACCCATTTTCGCCGTACTGCTGTAAGACAGCGCCGACAGCAACATCGGACGCGTCTACCATGATACGCGTCGGGGCGTTCGACATAGGATGCACGAGTAGTGTGGCATCGGCAAGGGCTTGCTTGGCCGCGGTGAAAGCCTCCACTGCGCTGGTGGTCCATGATAGTTGTGCCGAAGACTTGCTTGGAGCTCGGAGCAAGTCTGTGAGAGGCTGAATGATTTGTGCACAATGTGGGATGAAGCGCCGATGAAAATTAATGAGGCCCAGAAATTCCCGCAGCTTACGTAGAGATTTGGGTTGTGGGAAGTCTCGTATGACTTGCACCTTAGATGGGAGAGGTTCGATGCCATCGGGAGTGATGAGGTGCCCTAAAAATTCCAGTGTCGTAGTACCAAAGGTACACTTCGCCACATTGATTGTAAGCCCGTAATCGCGGAGGCGTTCGAAGAGCAGGCGCAGATGTGTTGTGTGCTCCTCGTGGGATTTGCTCGCGATCAACAAGTCATCCACGTAGGCAAATACGAAAGGCAGTCCATGAAGAACTTCGTGGACGAATCTCTGAAAGGTTTGCGCGGCGTTTCTCAATCCGAAAGGCATGCGAACGTACTCGAAGAGGCCAAATGGTGTTGTGATGGCTGTCTTCGGAATATCTGCAGGCTCGATCGGGATGTGGTGAAACGCCTTCACCATGTCGATTTTGCTAAATATAGAGGTTCCTGCCAGGTGTTCGGCGAAGTCGTGTATGTGAGGCAGTGGGTAGCGATCGGGTTGTGTATGGGCGTTTAGCGCCCTGTAATCACCGCACGGCCTCCAGTCCCCTGGGTCTTTCTTAGGAACCATGTGAAGTGGTGATGCCCAAGAGCTGTTGGATGGTCGAATTATGCCTAGTTCTAGCATATGCTCGAACTCTCGTCGTGCTACTTGCAGGCGTTCGCCAGACAGACGACGAGGGCGAGCAAAAACGGGAGGGCCGGAAGTGACGATGTGGTGTGTCACTGCATGCGGTGGCGGCTCTGCCATGTTGGAGGACTTCGTGATTTCAGGAAATTCTTTAAGAATGTCTGAGAATCTTGAAGGAGGCAGGATGTTCCGGATGCAAAGGGGAGGTAGTGTTTTGGACACGCCGTTGACAGCCAGATGAGTCTTCCTGTCAATCAGGCGTCGATGGTGCATGCTGACGTCCAGATCGAAGTGTGAAAGAAAATCTGAGCCTAAGATGGGGTAGGTCACGTCAGCAATGATGAAAATCCATCGAAAGATCTTACGAAGCCCTAAGTCCAGGGTCAGAGATTGTTTGCCATATGTTGGAATGTTTGAGCCGTTTGCCGCGACGAGATGCGAACCGGGCAATGGGCGTCGCCTCTCTGCATGTGTAGGTGGAATTACGCACATTTCAGCTCCTGTGTCGACGAGGAAACGGCGGCCCGTTATTCGGTCTGTGACGAAAAACAGACGGCTTGTTGTTGGCCCGACGTCACTTGCCGCCTCTAGTGACGGGCCGGAGCGTTTCCCTGCCATTCGCACGGCTGTTGGCACTTACGTGCGTCGCTACCGAATTTCTGGTGGTACCAGCAGAGGACGTCAGTCCGTCGTTGTGAAGGACTGCGACGTCGAGAGGATCTACTTCTCCGACGACGTCTCGAGTCGTTTCTCTTTCTGCCGAGTGCTGCGACGGCGGTTGTCAGGGCGTCGATGCGGGCTTCAAGGGCTCGCATGGCGGAACACTGATGAGCGTTATCCGTGACGCTTGACAGGGCGGGCGCAGCATACTCCGCGACGCGGTCAGCCATCTCGGCAAGGCGATCGAGTGGAAGATCGGTGGCTGGTGCAAGCGTCATGCGAATGCCTTGTGGCAAGCGCTGGAGAAACAACTCCCGTAGAATCGGATTGTTCGTGTCCGAGGCTTGCTCACCTAACAGCTGCCGCATGCGATGAAGTAGCTGAGAAGGTCGACGGTCGCCCAGCTCCTCTGTGTTCAGAAGCTGCTGTAGCCTTGAAGCCTCTGACTCCGTCTTCCTAGCGAGGATCGTCCGCTTGATGTAGTCGTAGGCGTCGTCGGGAGGGGGAGACGCCAGTACGTCGTCCAGCTCATCAGCCACCTCTGGGGGAAGAGCAGAAACCACATGGTAGTAGCGGGCGCTCTGGCTTGTGATGTGCCGCAGGTGGAATTGCGCTTCCACTTGGGAAAACCAGGCCCGAGGGTTTTTCGCCCAGAAGGCTGGAAGGCGGAGTTGGACGGTGGAGAAAGCTCCGTCGCCGTTGGAAGAGGTGCCAGCAGCACTCTGGTTCATGTTGGTCGGACGTCCGGGTCACCAATTTGTCGGCGGTGTTCTATAAACGCCGGAGGAAAAATGCACGCGTCCGAACCAGAGCTTTGGCTAGAGTCAACCTCTTTCTCTTTATTTTCCTGGCTCCCAAGCCACGAGCGCTGGCAGAGGCTGGCGCTCGTGAGAACCAGCATTGCGAGCCTAGCGCATCTGTCTGTGTCACTATAGTGTCATTGCCCATGTTGTACGATTTGGTGTCAGGATATTGTACTCACCATGTTAGCTTTCATGCCAGGCTCATACATATACACCCTCCTGCAGTAGTTTGACAGGGATGTCTTCCTGCCAGGAAGCTTGCTCGAGCGCCGTATTGTGGCTCTCAGATTTCGTTCTCTCAAGCACGTAAACTCCGGACGGCTGCAAAATATATTCGTCAGTTTAAGGACAGAAAATGAATCTAAAAAATTATTCATCAGCCATTATACAGGCATAATTAGATTGATTAACCGAGCTGCCGCAAATATCATTCAACATCTTCTCACACACCGGATTCTTAAAGGTGCAACAATTTTTGGGAGAAAAAATTTTTGTACTTTTAATAAATATAGCTTAAGGTTGATTATTCACGTTCTTGGCCTACAAAACACGCGTTAGTTTATTTTGCACGCAATGAGAGTCGAAAAAAAATTCAAGTTAAACAGGCCGCGTTCGCCCCCTCAAGTCGCAGTCAGAGCAAGCGGCCACGCAATCAGGTGCCGCCATTGTTCATCGCAGCCACGCGCTGGAGTAGGCAAAGGATAGGGCATGCGCTGACTCCCAGACACTCTACTGAGATTTAGTATTGCGTATACGAGCGAAAGCAAGCACTGCTTGCGTTAGCGTTGCGTGTTCCGCACAGCACGTGCGCAGAGCGGAAACTGCGGTCTTGGACTGGCGCATGTAACGACACGCATGCGAAGCTTGGAGCACTTAACGTGAGTGCAAACGCACATCTCTTGCGCTTGATCCAGTACGCAAAAACTAAACCTATCTACTGTTTCGCTTCGTCTTTTCTCGTCATTGCGGCCGTTGGAGTCGAGCCACCATTCGAATGCTGGTTGAGGCTTTAATTGTCACGAGCCCGAGCCAAATCTTCACGGAGTGCTCGTGCCCAATCTATGAGCGGCATTTTAATATCGTCCCCAGGGGTGCCTCACATTAACAATGCAACTCACGATTACGTCATCAAGTTTTCCAGAGGAGGGACTGAAAGAGAAAGCCCGCTTTTACTCTGAAAGTTTCACCGCGACCAAGAAGCGTCTTGGTCCCACTTGTGCGAGTAAGGTAGTGTATAGTAAGACAATTTCTAACCCACTATCGTTGCACGGACCCTTTAAGATAATTAGCACACAATATTTAAACAATAAATGTCTGACACAATTAATCAATCAATCATTATTAACGATGGCACAGATTCAACACCAATCAATTTTAAGTACCTGCTTTATTGTCCCTTGTTCTAGCTGTGACGCGCAATAATTCTACGGGACAGCACTATTGAATTTTGTGTGATATAATAGGTTTTAGAGACGGAATCAAATAGAGAAATAATTTCAGTTAACATGCTATGCATAATCAATAGAGTAGACAAATATTAAAAAAATAATTGTTAAAGTTCTTTTCAAGGTAAATTTTTTCACTCTTACTTGTAAAGGTTCCTGATTTCTCTTTGGCAGCAGTAAGAAAATGCATATTGGCGCTCGTCTTTCATCTCGTAACTCATCAGGTATCCTTCCTTCCAAGGGCAGTCTGCAGATCCGATGTGTCCGTTTACCCAATTACCGGCTGGATCTCCGTCATGATTGCAACCAAGGCTAAACAGGTGACAAAACAACAATATCGTAAACTTCTCTACTTTAGCAATCCAATAAATTTATGGAGTGAGCAGGTGTGATACACGACATTTTAATAAAAGCAAAATTATCTGGCTTTAGTTTTTTTGCTGCTAAGTTGTAACTTTACAGCATGTAACAAGAACATCTAGGACAAGCAAGTAGCCAGAATTTTGTGTCGGGGGGGGGGGGGGGGGGCCGCCCATGACAAAATGCTGTATGAGGGGGAGGGGGGAGAGGAGGTCCCAGCAAAATGGAAGATTTCGGGGGGAGGGGGAGGGGCCGGGCCCCATGGGCCTCCCCCTTGGCTACGTGCATTGATCTAGGACATACATGATTCTAGCGCAGGAGTCTCAAAACCTCGGCCCGGGGGCCAGATCCGATCCGCGAAAGTCTTCTGACTGGCGGGCGACTGGCTGCGGTCTTTCCTATGAAGCCAGGCCATGGCCCGTTTCCAGCAGACACGCTGCTAGCGGTGCAAAAGAACTTCCCGTATAGAAACGGCACCGCGACGAGCTCCAGATGCGCAAACAAAGATACGTGAAAAAACGAAAGAAAGTGTAGCCTAACAGGGAACCCCTCGCTTATTAATAATTGAACACTGTTATCACTATATCGAATTATTATTCTTAGCCCTCTGCTCCATTTCTGTGTAACTGCGTTAAAATTCCAAGTCGTTGTCATGTACACCATGCTTAGTGTCCTCTTTCACAACAATTGCGTATTGTCAGAATTAGTCGTATGTTTCTCATTCGTCTTTTGCACTGCTCGAATGTGTCCAAGTTCCCATGCACTTTGATTTATGAAGGGTGAGTTTTTTTTATCAAAGGTGCTGTGTATAATGTCATAATTACCTTAATATTAAACTTCAGTGTGAACTATGTGCACTCAGCTACCTCACGTTTCTTTTAAATACTTACCTAAATATTCATTTCTTCGCTTAAATAGTTATCTAGGTTTATTTCGTTTGTTCCTCGTTCATTATTACTTTCTTTCTAGCCCTCGAGATTGTGACAGATTCCTGATCCGGCTCCTTAGTCAAAATGTTTGGAGACCTCTGTTCTAAAGGCAGAGAGCTACGTTTCCTCCGCAGACGACGACGTCAGTTGCATCGTCTTTGGCTTGTGAACATCTTAAATATTCCAAATACTACATACAGATTATGGCCGCATATATATGGGGCCAGAAACTTTATTTAAGTCTTAGAGTGAGTTTACAGTCTTCTTCTTGTACGAAGTAAGTGGTAGGCTATTTCATTAACTCGTCTATCATCTATCGTCAACCAGTCCTGCGAAATATTTTCCTGTTTTTTTTTAACTTAGAACTTTGTGATATATTGAAAGTTCTCGAAATAACTGAAAATAAAGTATGTCATTTACAAATTAATACTCAAAAGGGTTGGTATATTTTGCGATAAAAACAATGTCCTGGAGTAGTGTTCGTTCTCAAAGGTTTTCACATAGCTTGTTACTGCCTCTGACATAGCAATAAATGTGATAATTTTAATTATACATGTTTGATGCACTAGTTCTTTCCTAAAACACTTTTTTTCTCAATTAAAAATAAACGACTGATGCCGAACGTTCGTACTTTAGCCAAATGTGGTGCTAGCTGCTGTTAAAATACGTCAAAACTCCAAAGCTTAAGCTTAACTAAAAATAGCTGTTTTTAGAAATGTCGTATGATAAAATAAGATCTGTTTTATTAAAATGCACTAGGTTGCAGAGAAAAAAAATGGTGGGCTCCACTAGGAGTAGTATGCATATGTCTTAAGGCTCGTTCGCACTCTTGCAACCGAGTACGACCGAGAGAGATGAGACTTGTTAAAACCTCTTAAAATTTCTAAGGACGAGAAAACAGACTGGCACACTGGCGCCATTTTTTCGGTGACCTTGGAACTACATTTCAAAAGAGCGAAAGATTTGCGGGATTTCCGAGGTCAAATGTGCGTAATACCTATAAAAAAGGCTCCTCTATAACGTTGACAAAAGTTTTTTGACCCAAGAGAGAAAGGATAATGCGCGAGAAAAATAGAAAATATGCCATACCGCTAAGTTTACGCTGCTACCCAATAGATGGCGCCAGTGTGTCCTCTCGTTGTAAGAGGTTGTAAGGAACCCAGTTTTAAGGGGTCGCAAGAGTGTAAACGGGCCTTTACGTTTATGCTAATCATCCTAAGAAATATATTATCTACTTTGAAGTATGGTGCGATATTACCCGAGGCTGTAAACATATTTTTAGCATGCCGCTTTATCGTCAGCAAAAGGATTTATGTACGAACTTTCGGAGTGATTGTTGTTGTTTTTGTATCATAATACATGGTGTCGTGACCTGTGCGAATTGTTTCATTGAGCATTTGGGCAGCAAATATTTTCTAAAACGAATTCCTCATTATCTTTAGAGATCTTTTTTGCACTTCGTGTACTGTGCACCAACGCATACGTTTACTACAAAAGTTTCTCCAAAAGTTTGACTCAGTGCCTCTCACATTCCGCTTATGTTTTCTTTTAATGCGAAAGCATTAATTGTCCCATGGAACGAAGCCAGCGGCGTCGGAAACAGTGAAAAACGGTACATAAACTCCCATTTTCCTATTGGCCGAGTGAATCGACACCTAAAGTCATATTGGCTTTGGCGCGTCATATCAGATGCTTCGGTCACCGAAGCCGGCGAGGACGCTCGAGGTCAAAGCGGACTCGTCTGAGTAATAAAGCACAAAGAAAAGCACAGCAACGGAGATGCCTAGTCACAAAAGTCGGCGAGTGCGCTCAAGGTCAATGCGGACGCGCTCCAGAAATAAAACACAAAAGAAAGGCAGAGAACGCAGATGCCTCGTCACAGAAGTCGGCGAGTGCGCTCAAGGTCATGGCGGACGCGCTCCAGAAAAAAACACAAAGAAAAGCACAGCAACGCAATGCTGCGTCACGGAATCCGTCGTGAAGTCGGCAGGACTCGCCGCGCACGCGCAGAGGTGAAGCGTGACATCACCACCGCAGCGCCGTGTCCGACAGAAAGACGTGGCGCGGTGTTTGTAGGAATAAGCTGCGTGTAGGAATGCTTTTGCATTCCTACACTTAAGCAGTCCTAAGTGTCTCGGCCTAACTTTTAATAGCAATTCTTTACCATCAAATGATTTAGAAAAAATTGTATTGAAGTAATATAAATTAATTCCCCAGATGATTTTTTTAAAGAAATTACTAATCTAAGTAAAGCGCGCCATAGATACACACATTAATTCTATAATCATAATATTTAAGGGTCACAGAAAAGATTGGCTCCCGCTCATAGCGATCCACAGATTTAATGTAAAAGAGGATGCAAGTGATTTATTTTTATTGAGAGGACTTTCTTGGTGTAAAATCTGGTACCACACCCTTGAAAAACTTAATAACAGCCTCTGATGGAGACGCCCGTTTGGTGCTCCTACTGAGAGGTGGTGCCTCACCTCATTGAAAGCAGATTTGTACTTTACACATTACTTGTTTCTAGTACGTTTTGGTAGCACATTAAGAACCCAGTTACTTTTCAGAAGGAGGAACGAGTAACGTATTTTCGTTACTTTACAATTAAGTATCAAGTTACATAATTTCGTTTCTTCCGGCAGGAAGGTGTACAAAACAAGTACCCAACCAAGTTCTCATCCCAGTTCATGCCTGTCATTTTCACGACGATAACACTCTAGAAATACTGTAACACTATGTGCACAACGTATGCCAATATAGCCACTGTTATTCCTAAATAAACACTCTAAAAATAGAAGAAAAATATAGGGTGCCTGAAATACCCAGGCCCGATCTGAAATAAGCCTTAAAAATCGGCGCTTGCATGCAGAAATCAAAACGTTTCGTCAAAGGTGCATTGCACAGGTCGGTTTTATCGTGCAAAATTACAACTCGTAGATTCTTTTTTTTTTTTTTTATGGGGCCAAAAATCTTGTTAGGGTCAACGGCGGACGGCGACGAAGACGACCCAGTCGAGTGGCGGGGCACGCTTGACGCTCTTATTGATAGATGGCGCCGGGAACAGCGTTGGAAAGTGTTGCCGACCAGCGAAAGCAAGCAGTCGACACACAGTGAAAATCCGTCGGCAGCAAGAGCGCCTTTGGTGCCGTTGTTATGCATCCGTATTTTATTCTACTTTTGTTAATTCAAGTTTTGCTATCTTTGTTCGAGTTTATATTTAAAGTAATGGTACATTACAATAATATTATGCGTTTTTTTTTTTTAAAGACAACGTCCTTTGCCAGCAATCTCGGTAAGGAGGAAGCGCCATCTGTAAACACCTTCGCCAAACGCGCCCTGCCACACGACTCGGTAGTATGCCTCGCCGTCCGTAGTTAACCGTGTCAAGTTTTCACGCCCTATTTTTTTACAGAGGGCGCTACGCTTTGTAATTGTACATTATAAAGCCGACATATGAAATACACTTTTCAGGGAAAGTGTAGATTGCTACGTGCAGGCACTGATTTTTACGGCGCGTTTAAGATGAAGCTTTGGTATTTCAGAAACCCTATATCAAGGACGTGAACTATTGGAAGCGGCTACTGCTTCATAAAACTGACACATTCCAAGTAAGAAGAAAATGACGTGTTCACTTGAGTTCACTATGTTCAAGCTGAGGCACGTGTTTCTTTTGAATAAAAGTAACGAGCGACGTGACGAAAATCGTCACTGGAGAATGGGAACAAGCGAGACAAAATACCAACACAAATCTCCAAACACAGCTGGGTGGCGAGTACACGACGAAAAAAAAACAAAAAAAAAAAAACAAAAAAAAAAAACGCCTGTTCCGGGTATCAAACCTGGGACCTCTCAATTTCCAGAGGAGCGCTCTACCAACTGAGCTAACAGGGGTTGGACGTCAGTAGAGCTAACAAATTTTATCAGCTACCACAAGTTTAACACCAACGAGCGTAAAACACGAGCGACGTCCTCGGTTAATTTTGAGGAAGTGAATAGTAACACTATTTAGTTAATCTGTTTCAGTAGCATGTACAGTGCTCCCCAAACTTAACGCCGCCATTGGGTTCCCAAATATTGAGCTCGTGTCGGGTATTCACTGTTAAATTTGTCACTAAACCGTTCGCGATACCTTCTCAGGATGGGTTAGAACTCGGGAACACAAACATTCTTCAGATAGCTCGATGGGCCGTCGCAGGGACTGTCCGAAATGGCAAATGCTGTGGCGGTGTTAAGTTTGAGGCGCACTGTACATGACTGGTTGAAAGCAGACGAAACAACTGAGCGAGGTGTCTACGGCAGGTGCGCACAAAAGCGCTTGCCTTTATTATATAACTTCAGTTTTTATATGAATGAAAACAAATTACGTCAGGAAGCTATATTACACGGAGATCATTATCAATTTGGTTATCTGCCGATTGTGGAGTTGGCTGTTCACGGTGCATAGCGCCTTCTCATGACGGGGGCGTACTGAACTGTCTGCAGAAGTTAATTCCACCATTTAGGTAAGCAGATTTGACGAAAACATGTGTCCACTATGTTGAAGCGGCCATTTTTTCTAATGAATTTGAAACCAAACAGAAATTAACGCCATCCTTCATAAAAAAATAAATAGATCGGTTAATATTAGTCGTGTTATTTAACGTGTGATTTCATTATGCGTGCTTACGTGCTTGTTCCCTCAACGGTTATTCTGAGATACTGAACAATATAAGCCATCGCCACCGTACATAACAATTAACCCAGTAAACATTGTGACATAAAATATGTAGCATACTTATGCGCTAGCTCATGTGTGAAAACGTAGGCTCCGTAATAACTTGTCGGCCGGTCTTCGCACATTCCTACCCTCCATTGGGAGCATGCTGTTCCTACGTAGGCGTATCCTGCAAAACAAAGCAAACTGTTGAAACAATAGTCCACGAATGTCAAATGTGTTTCCTCTTTTTTTTTAAAATGCGGAGTTTTTTATTTAAACAAATTTATTTTGCGTCAAAAGCTGACAGGACTTAAAAAAACACTGAGAGGGCATTTATGCACGCCAAATGTTTATTTGCACGTGACATATGAGAAGTCAACCACCCAGAACACAATTTACGGCTCGAATTTCGTTTTCTTTCCGCCTGATAACTGCCGATCCAGAAGTGGCCGGTTTGAGTCGCACTCATTCTCTTCTTCGTGGTCACGTGCCCTTCTCTATTGTTTATAGACACGCACACCAAACCAAATATAATCAAAGTCGTGGGACACACTCAATATTAAGTTAAGAAAACTTATAGCCTTTCCACTCGGGTGAAAAAGTAAGAGCAGTGGAGCTGGTACCATGTGCCACGATCTATAGGCGACGCTGGCAACCAGACAACCGGCTTTCCGGTTGTCTGGTTGCCGCCGTTGCTTATAAATGACGGTAGCTGTCCAGAGGGTTGTACCGAGATTTATTTGTCCACGGACACGAAACTGGGGAAACTAGCCTTTAACAGCTCCGCTGTAAAAGAAATAACATGGAACCCGTTTTTGTGGCTTGTAAAAAGCTGCTTTTGCGTTGGTTGAAAAAAAAAGTTCCATAGTCAACCCGAAGCGCTCTGTTCATTCTCTGCGTAATTCTCAAGAAGGCCTCGCATCGCGGGAGTGGCAGGCTGGACGGTCTGGACGGCTGGACGAAACTGACTAAGCGTGGCCGGCGGACGTAGGGCGCGGAAACTCTACTTCAAAACTGTTGTTTACGTTACCGGCGATTCTTTCTAGCTTCGGAAGAGAAATATTTTACCAATAAAATCTGTTAGGATTTATTTCCTTCCGACACGCGCGACCACCCAGCTGATCCGCACGAAGGCATCGCCAAGTCGTCACCCCTTCTCCTGGCTGCAGACATCACTCGCCTTACAAACACGAATTGTTAAGAGCTTGAAAAATACAAAAACGTCAAGCACGAAGTGCTTGACGTTTCCGCATTTTTGCCACATTCGGTGCGAGTGTGACCAAAGCGTGGTGTCTTCGAGCCTGGGGAGTGCCTCTGCAGCAGCGAAATTGGGAGCAAACTTTATGCTCTGCAGTCGACTGTTTGCATTGCTGCGAACGAGGAGTTTTCCCACGCGTGCTTGGCCCTTACAATGTTGAAACTGCCGTCTGCTTCGCACGGCTGAAGAAGGGGAGAGAAGAAAAGAAACGCGGTCGGGTGTTAACACGTGGCTTCCAGCAACTCTCTTCTCCTCCATATTCCTCCATATTCCGACAATAGGCGCAATTACTTTATTAAAATATACGCGACTTTGTAGCAAAATATTGATTGGGTGGTCTTTTGACAAAGTATTGATTCGCCTTACAAAAAATAAAAGTATATATTTGGGGAGTTTCAGTGTCCCTTTAAATTCACTTTATTAAGTGTCCATTGTCTGTCTAGAGATAATCGTGGAATCTCTCATGCGACGTTGGAATTAGGGCAAGGATATGACCGAAGGCATATAAAATGAAACCGCTGCTTTCCCTCGAAGCAAGTGTGGTCGCATTTTAAAACTACAAAAGTACCAACATATTATTTAATTTTCATGAAAAAGGTGGAAACTATGTGTAAATGTTCGAATTTCATTCTCTATTAAAACTTTCTCTCAGTTCGGATTGAGTGATTAAGTTTCAATTGAGATGAATTCAATTTGATTGGTTCCATAGTCGTGGAGGAGACAAAAAGTACTACACAGATTAGCGTGAGAAGTTTTTAGTTCCTTATAGATTTGTGAGCTTTGCTAACAGATACATTATTCAGAGTTAGACGAAACCGGCGCAAGAACATGGAATAAACTGTAAGTTAACAAATAATTAATTAAAGAAGAATGCAACGTCTAAAAAAATGGGGGGGGGTGTTAAAAACATTTTATGTGCGATATATGTTAATATTCTTTTTCACCAGTTCATTGATTGTAGATGCGACTACCTTATGAAGCATATAGAATAAGGAATTGGCTCTGGCATGCTGCGCTCTTCAATAGTCTCGACTATGAATTTACTCTAAAGTCGGGTTAGGCGAATAATAAAAAATTCTGCTCGTGAATCTAATAGAATACAACTAGGAACTTTTTGTGATAATTTACCAAGAGTCAACAACATTTACCAACAGTTAACAACTGAGTTTCGTGATATTGCGAAAAAAAAAAGACGCATTATAAGATGACGGACTCACCGCCAGTCCACGACTGTAGTTGGTTATTTACCCATTCTGACATATTTTTTCTGTAAAAAATACATTAAACAATTATATTTAAACTATTTTTATTTTGAAATCAAATTTGAATTATATAGAGCACTGAAAATCAAAATATTCCGGTTCTGGTAAGGAGTATTATCTAACTTCGGTGGTGTGACACCATATTCATCATTAGCCTTCTTCAACGGTGTAGTGCTTCGTAAGGTACGAGTTTTCATAACTTGGTAAAGAGCGAACGTGGCGTTTGCTTGTTTACAGGGCTGTGTTTTAGTAAAGCATGATGCCAGCAGAAGCCTCGTGAAACAGAGAGTAAGGTCTGCCCCTGAATATGGGGTCTTTTTATTGACACGAACTTATTGGATATGTCCTTACGGAAACTTCGCATATCCCCAGATGCGTTATGGTTTGCCCAAACATTCAGAATATATTAAAGTAGAAACCACAATTCCAGTAAGAAATCTGGCTTCTTCCGAATTGTTAGGGACGTCATGTGTTCGATGTTCGATTGAAAATACTTCGTTCACATAACATGTACATCTTACGTTAAGAATAATATTATTTCCAATAAGAATTGTTTTATATTCATACTTACGCAGTCACCAAAAACACAATATCGGATTCGTTATACAATCTGTATTTCTTCATGTAAGTGTTGAACTGGTCCAGAGTTTCTTTGAATAAAATATTACGGTATTTATCGTGTCCTTGCACTTTGACGATGTATGGTTCTTCCTTTGGCTGTTTAGGTGGCCAACAGAACGGAAAATAAGAGATCGCCATATTGTGCGTCCTAAGACTTTTAAAATCTTGCCGTGTTTATTATAAAAGAACAACTCCAACAAAATACTTACACTTTTATTCATGGTTATACCAGTAATTCTGAGCTGCACCTTGGGATATACTAGGCTCGCGTACCTAAGGTTTGCCTGACAGAAAAAAGAAGAAATATGACTTTTTGTTTACTGTTCAAAACACCTCAAGTATGTCTTGGAAAATGCTTAGATGCTACTCTTTACTTTTTTATGTTTCATTACAATGAGTTGCAATGCAAATTATAGCAGCAAAGGCTCGTCTCCGAAATCCATGAAGATAATTTAGGTCACTGCGCCACTCAGCACAAACACCTCACTTGTTGGTTCTCCTCGATACAAAGACCATACGTCATCACACACTTTTGAGAGGTACACCAGTAAAAGCAAAGCTCGATTAAATGCCAAATTCGGGTAGGAGCATTAGGAATTATTCCGAACGGTGTATTTTTTTTTAAGGTAGCTATTTCCGGAATTCGTATGTTCTGAATATTGTATTATAATTCACGACAGCGAAAATAAGCATAGCTTATTCAATTGAAATTGTATTAAATGAAATGTAATACTCCCTTGAAAAGGAAAAGTCGCTAGTGTTTTTCAACAATAAAAATTACTACTTAATATTCACGGCATTCAGTTTTGGAAAGGAAGGCTATTATTTTTAAATCACCCCACGAAAATTTTACTTTTAATATTAAGATTTGACATTTCTTCCAAACTCACCAGTAGAACAAGAAGCACCGACTTGGGCTGGGTTTTGTTTTACCGGCATTTTGTGCTTAAAGGCCCGTTCACACAGTTGCGTTCGGAGCGACCACTACGCTTACGAACGAATGCAACCGGTTGGAACGACGAGTTACCATAGCAACGAAGCGCCAAACGGTCGTTTCGTTCGTGTTCGTTCGCAACGCAAGGAGTTGAGCCGGGCTGAACTTTTTCGTTACGTTCGGGAACGACGGGAGCGACAGACCAATCACAGGTCGAGGAGAGCTCGGTCGCGCGCAGGCTCCTTCTATTTCCAAACATGGCGTCGATGGTGATCGTCGACATCGACGGCGTGATGGACGCGCTCATCGTTCCCCGCAAAAGCGCTATCCTCGACTGTGAATTTTCGTCGTGTATCGTTATGATAACCCAGCACGTAGTAGAAGGGAAGATCCACCTACTTGTGCGGCGATCTCGTGGCGGCACTCTCAAGACAGCAGAAACGCCCGTGCCGTCGTGTTTGTTTACTTCGACTACAGTGGTGCTTTCCTAGCATTTGCGTCCTCGAACATCACCCGGATTTCTTTTTTGGCGCATTCCTTGCGTGTGCTCAAGTTCAAGGTATTACTGGTGCGTACCGTATAAAGGATGCGAATTTTTTACTCGTTTTCATCGCCCGAAAAAGTTAATTAGTGTTAGCAATCCTGAACGCTCGCATCGTCTGTCAAATTATATTTCTACGTTGCTATATCGTTGCTAATATTACATCATCTTTTATATTCGTAGAAACGGTGTGTGGGGAGATTTGTACTGTTGGCAAAGCTGTGTATTAAAGTCGTGATCGTGCAAGACGGCGTACTGGATCTTTTTTTTCTTTTTTTTTTTTAATGCACTACCCTGCAAGCGTATCCTGAAAAAAAAGAGTAATAAACCTTGAGGTCATAGAAGGCGGTCTGTCTATTTTCTGTTACGCAAGTGAGTGGCAGCGCGTCCCCTTCTTTTTGGAGGCACCGCTGAAACAGCTGACGGCAACGGAGAGGCGGTCGCCGTGCTGCCGACCCGCTGCGCTTGTTGCAGTGGTAGCAGGAGTGTACGCGCGGCGCAGAGCGATCGTTCCGGTCGCTCTGGTCAAAACGGACGCGGTCGCGGATAACGGGTTCGTTGCAGATGTCTGAACCAGCCTTTACAAAGCTATTGTAGGCGCATAGCAGATCTTCGTGAGCGTACGCCGTAGCCGAAACCTCGGGCTGCTCCGGTGATGACCCCGCTACCCCGCGCCGGGCACGAAACCGTCCGACATGTTTGTAAGCGTACCTGGGTTGCTTCCTATTGGCTAGGACCAAGAGCTGAAGCTCGTTTCTTATTGGCTGTTGATTCGCGTGGTTGCATGCGGTTGCATGTGTGTGTACACGTCGCGCACAGTTGTCGTTGAAGTCGCAGCGGTTGCATTCGTTCGTAAGCCTAGTGGTCGCTCCGAACGCAACTGTGTGAACGGGCCTTAAATCGTGCCATTCCTCGCGAGATTATGTCACTTGAGCGAAGACGATATAATTTCTGCTAATATTTTTAGTTCGGCACAGACGGCGCTCAAAATGTGCAGTTTCCGGTCTACTAAATTCCTGACTTTTTTATTTTCTGACTTTCTGCTAGATGTGGCAGCGAAAAAAAAAAACTTATAATGCACTGGATGTTTGTTTGCAGGAAAGCATAGCTAATCGTAGACATGGGTTGCAGGACTTCGTTACGGTTGTTTGCTTCTCTCAGACCTTTCTAGAAGACACCAGCTAGGAGCTTCTCTTATGCAAGTTAAATCAAACCAAATGTGTCTAGAGAAATGGTGCTTCTTAGGGAAGTAGTTGCAATTATAGCCCAAATAACAAACTAATAAAAGAGGAATATTGATGGAATATGTACAGCATCTTACCGCATTCATAAGAACGGCAAAGTAAGATATTACTTTATCTTTTTTGAAGTTAAATTGCTTCGAAAATTCACTATCCGCCACAACCCATACTTCAGGATAGATTTCCATGGGTATTTCATACACTGAAACATAAAAGTAAAGGAATAAATAAAACCTTTCTCTTTAAACCGCTATAGCGAATGTTCTTATGGTGCAATAAGAACAAGCGTTTAAGCTGTACATCGAAGGTGTACGCTCATTTATGAAAACGATGTTTATTACTGTGCTTAAATCTTTAATTTTATTTAGTTTTATTTTCGATCGGTTGATTAATATGTAGGAAATAATAACTTGTTATGCGGGAATAACGAAGTTATTATAGTAAGTTATAGTTGGTGCAAAACGTACTCGGGAAATTTGTGCGTCCAGCTCTTGATTCAACGTAGTCCTTGGTATCATTCGGTGTACCTATAAAGCAACAATATTTTCCAGAATAAATATGAAGTGGAATATAATAAAAAAAACTCAAGAAGACCAAAAATAGCAATCTGCCTTTGATTTTTATAGCGACGATGCCGATAGAGATCTGGTGCGTATGCCCCTAAGTGCAGACATAGTTATGAACAGCGGAAGACATCACGCGTAAACAGGTTGGAAGTTTTTTTTTAAGACTGTTTGCAATGCGCAGCGGCAATGGGAATGCACTCACACAGGTTGTATAAATAACACCAGCGAAGATTGCTTGAGCGCGCAACAAAGTGTTTTGTTATCAAGTATCAAATATCAGTTTCGATCCTCATTGGCCATTTCATAGATTCATCAACACTGATCACGCCCGTTTGAAAGAGGTGCTTATATTACATTCAGCCTTTAGGTACATATTATTGTGTTTAAATGTCCTAAATGTGCCAGCCATCTGAAAAAAAGTGCCCCAATGACTAGTTTTGGGAGCTTTTTTTACGTATGCTTATCGATTTAAAACTGGAGGTCTCTTAGAGGGCGCTAGTAGTATTTTAAGTGTTTTGATGAGTATAAATATAACATTGTAAAGTATAAATTGAACAAATATGGTGTCTCTAAACAAGATTTAGGTTTCTACACTTTTTCTTATATATATATATATATATATCACGAGCGTGTACGGCAGAGATGTTACATAATTATAAAGGTGCGAATAATATGAACTTTTCTTTTTTTAACATTCATATGACACAAGTATACTGTCGCTTAACTCCTTACCGTAATCGTGTGAAGGATGTTGTGCTTCGTGTGCTTCAACTTCATACAGCCTGTGCGCTTTGAGTCCTTCACTGTTTCGTGCAGCCACGGGTAAAGGTTGAACGCGAAGCCTTTGTCCAAGAATTCCTTCCTGTATTTACCACGCGTTAGAAAGATTAGAGTTTCTGTACGTATATTTAGATGACGATAAGCAGCTGAGGAAGCTGTGCAGTTTGGTTAGTTTTACTTGTTTAGCAATTCGTGAAGCACGTTTAGGACTTTGTAACTAAACGCATTGTAGTTTCTAACCTTCTCAGTGGTCGGTATGTTACAAGTATTTTAAATGTGCAGAGTAGACATGAATACATTTTTATTTGCTTGTGGTATGTGGTGGAGCATGAAAGAAATTAATAATGGAGCTTTTTTCACACTGCCCTAATCACCGAACAATAATGACGTTCTATCAAAAGGACTATAAAACTTGCGAACTGATCCGTGTGAGCTAAACAACTGAATGTTTACTAGCGAGAAAAAGTTTGTTGCATGATAAAATTTTATTAATAGGAGTAGAAAAATGTATGCATAGAAAAAGTCTATTATAACAAATTAGATAAAGAGATAAATTAAACCTTGCAAAACGTTCCATTATATTATTGGTTTGGAATCATAAAACACGAACCACTTCCACTCCATCGTCGTCTGTGACTTTTACAGAAGCCATGTGGGTAGGATCGTGATATATGTCTCGTTCGGCGTCTTCGGCTCTCACCTGTAATCATGTACCACACATAAGTTTGATTACTGTCTAACTGACTTTCATTTTGCTTGTTCTCAAGGCATGTGTACGAAAGAAGTTTTTGTTTTATGAGGCAGTGCTCAGGTATGCTTATTTGCTGACTAATTTCGTACATAAAAAGCATGCTAATCGCCGTTTGCTCAAATTCCTCTAGGTCCGACATGTAGGGCCTTATGGCTGTAAGAAAACTGTGAGTATGAACTGTTTTGCTTTCAGGACTGATTTGTTTCAGAAAATTTAAAGTATCTTACTTGGTATTTTCTTGCCTTTTTACATAATGATGCACCGGCCGCGTATAAAAATTCTTATAAGTATTAAAAAAAACAAGACAGGGATTAACAATAAGTGGAAGACTTGAACCGCGCGAGTTCTTAATTCATGAATAGTCTGACGTGAAACTACTTGGCTCTATAATAAATATAAATGAACAGTGGTCTATATTATAATTTGATTGCGAAAGACATGATGGGAAAAACAGCTTCCTTGTTACAACCACTTAACCAGATTGCGTTAAACAAAATCATACGAGAACCAAGCATGACGATTTATGTCGCGACATTTTTGTATTTGCGATGCCGCTAGCATAGTTCTACAAAACATTGCAATCTTTATTGCCGTACGGAGCATGACGTTGGCACGCAAAACGCAGGGCTGTGTGCCATATCAAGCAATAAACTTTCCGAACTTTTTTGTCTTTCTTAGGTGTCGGTATTTGTCACCGTGAATCTGTTGCGCAACAGTTACTTTTAATGTGATAGTTATAATGATCGTGCCACCCAGGCAAAGAGTGTCGACCAGGCAAGAAATTTGCAGAGTCAGGTGGAACGAAATTTGGTCTAACACACGAGCCTGACGGTTTGCCTTCGCAATGTCTTTGGAGTACATGAGCTGCTGTCAGCCCTACAGGGAGCGTCACTCAGCAGGTGGTGATATAAGTTAGTCTACCTTTTTTATCTAAAAAAATAATGATTTCTATTAGTGTGCACGATAGGAAGACATGGCAACGTAATCTTTTCTGCGTTTCGAGTGAACCTTCATCCCTCCGACCCTGAGAAGTGAGGGTTCTGACGAACACCTTAAAAAACAATGCATGTTTCTAAAATTTGCAATGCTAATAAACGTTCTGGACATCTCAACAATTGTCTGGCTTTTATCAACATTTAATGATGCAACGAACAGACTTTGAATAAATATCATGTGTGCTCACAGGAAGTTTGCGACATTCCGCACAAAAATATTGCTATTATTTCTTTCACCATGAGCCCGAGCGCAGGCAACGGCTAGAAGAAGTGCTACGCTTCGCGACTCTGTTAGCGCGAATACGATATCCGTGCTTCTCTGCATTGTGCTTATATCGACTAGTACCAAATTTGATCCCTTGGGTCACTTCCTTGAATGAGGACTTTTTACCACGCTGGTAATATTTATTATAGCCGTTAAAATAAGCATAGAAAAAAAAACACCTGAGGTCGCTTTCTCGCGCTTACGCTGTGTACAAACACGAAGGCACAGACTAAAAGCGCAAGGTCTCAGCACTGTTCTTGATTGGCCTAGCCGGTGATAGCAGACGTGTAGAAATGACCATCAGCGCCGTGACGTTGCGCTTTTTGCACTTCTTGTTTGCCTCTCGACTCGTGGCATCGACTGCGAGCGGACCTCGGTGAAAGCAGATTGCATAACTTCTGTGACTGAAATAGTTGCTCCTTAGGTGCAGATAAATTAATATTGAGCAACTCAACTCTCTAACGTCTCGCTACTGCGGTGGCGCAACTGTCGACACTGCGCATGCGCAGGAGACGCTTCGCCTCATGCGAATCTGGATTCGGCGCAAGCGCATTGTCCGAACTCCGTGTGGGCAAACGCGGTCTTGTTTGTAAGCTGTGTATTGCTGCATACACTACACACATCCTTAGATTTAAATTCAGAGGTACCTCGAAACAGAGCTTCATGCTCTCTGTTTTCCAAGCATTCCGCGTTGCGTTGATGGCCAATTTACTCGGAATATTTGGGTACTCCGGGGGAACTGCCTCAGACGCCTCAGTGAAAGGCATATTTCGGAGACTCTTTTTCTCCCTACGATACGCTCTCCGCTATGAAGACGACGCCATGCGCGCCGCTAGCTTTATCTGCAGAGTTCCCGATCTCGCGGAGGGTTGCGGGAGGGCGATGCATGAAAATCCCTTCGTAGAAGAGAGTCTGTGAAGATCCTTCCTGTAGCTTAAAAAAAAAAGTAAAAATGGAAATCACGTTTGCAAAATTGTGTATTTATTTTTGAACGTTCCAATTTCAGTCACCATTTGAAAAGTTTTCCGTCGGGTAAAATGCACTTGTTTTGTTTCGTTTTGTTTTTCTTTTCATGCTCTCGACAGGTTTTATATTCGTCGAGTCTGATTGTTACAGCACTCCTGCCAATTTTTGTTTGACCTCTTCCAGATCGGGAAACTGTTTCCCTCTGAAAACTTTTTGAATTCTTGGAAACACAGAAAAAGTCACACGGCGTGAGGTCGGGTGAGTAGCGAGGGTGGGGTACGGGGATCAAGACGTTTCTGTCAAACACTGGTCAAATTGCGATCTCGGAAAACCAGTCTCTTGTTTTCCAAGACTCTGGTTGTCATTTTTCCCGCAGCGCTTGTGTTCAGCAGTTTTGACCAAAAACGTATGGCCCCCGTCCCCCACTTTCCCTGTTCACTCGACCTTGCCCTGTGTGACTTTTCATGTTTCCTCAGATGAAAAAGGCTCACAAATTGAGTCGAGTTGCGGATGCGGAAGAGGTGAAACAAAAACGGCTGAAGTACTGAAAGACACTAATACCGAAAAGTTAAAAGGTTCTTTAGGGCATTAAAAATGTCTCGAACAAATGTATGGCATTCCGCGGAGGGTGCTTTGAAGGTGACTGAAATTTGAACTTATAAGTATATTTTGAACATAAATTAAGGTTTTCTGTGCGTCTCCGCTTGTATGAACACAGGCGTCGGAAAAGCTTAGGTTACCCCTATCGGAGTTATCACAATGATCTAGTAGCACGCGTTCGAATATTAAAATAATGTAATGGCCATGCGGGTCAAAAGAGGCAATGTTAAAAAAAATTATTTCGTGTTTTAGGCTGTGTTTTCATGTTTAAATCTTCATTCCGCGATGTACAAAATATTAAGGACCGAATATGATCGCGAAATTACTCATATACACCTATGTATTCCTCCCGGTTACACAGAAATGCATAGATTCAATTCATTTTCTTGTGCGCGGTCCCTCACATTTTTGGCTTTGCCTGCTATCAAATTAATTTTGAGAAGTAAACCTAGGTATTGGTAAACATCTATGGTAAAATTCGATTGTTTTTTTTTAAGTTCTTGGCAATTTTTTACAATAAGTGCTTCTATTATTGTCCAATCACAATAGAATTCGGCGTGAATACGGTCCAGGGTATGTAGAATAAAACTTTTAGGGTTTGGTTTAAATGTGTAGCATTAGAACTAGAATATGGGCTAGTTGCTTCATTACTGAATAGAAGGCTAAGAGGCGGTGACAAAGGACAATAAAGAAACACGGACGACAGGACAGGCGCTTCTTTTTTTTTTCTTTTTTAGAAGCGCCTCTCCTGTTGTCTCTGTTTCTTTATTGTCCTCGTTTGTTCGCGCTTTTTAGCCTTTTATTCATTAAATGTGTATCTTTCTACTTGCGAAGACCATAAAGAAACCCTTGTTACCTATTTTAGCATGGCGTTTTCGGAACGAATTATGTTTTAAAAGACAAGAGAGTTCGCACACAATATGTTTGTTGCTCGTTGCACTCGGAGTTTCAATCTAGCCAATTAGATTATTTTACTGTACTCTTTTAAGTCTGTTGCGGTGCCCGATGTGTGCACAAAAACACGCTTTTTTGCTTGTACATTGATTCGAGGGTACAAAAACTGTATTCAATTAACACCGTATTCATAGAAAAGAGATCAAGCACTATAATCTGTAAAGCGTTCATTCAGGTCTTCGAAGTTATAAGAGTTTCTCCTGGCGCAGGGTTTTCTACGGTATGATATCAGACACATACTCACGTAGTAATCGATAGGCTCGTTATCCTTCGTCGTGCTAAACAGAAAACTGTCGGTGAAAACCTTACTCTTCTGCAGAGTCAAAGTCAAATCATCGTTAATTTTCAGCATCCTCTCTCCCGTGGCTGATCTGCTTTCAAGCATCCTCGGGTACACGATCCCATGCTCTGCAACGAAATCGTTCAGGTTAACCCAAGCAAAGTTCAGATCTTTTTTTTATAGTATTTAACCGACTCGGACAGCGTATTATCGATTACCTTTCTCGGCGAAGCAGAAAGAAAAGAGCGCTACGGCCCACAATTTGAGGCTGAACCCCGGCATCTCTGGTTTGGAGGACGACCGTTTTTCCAAAGCCGACGTACAACTACTTGTTGCAAATTAATGGCGACTGTGCTTTTTATACCCATCAAGCATGATTTTCATGCGTCACTCACCTGCCGTTTACGCCTTCGGCATGACGTACGTCCGCTAAAGGTGACAGCCCTACAAAAAGCGCTTAACACGGGCTTGCAGCTGCCGCAGGTTTCCACATGAGTTTTGGGAAAATGCTGGGTCTGTGTGACCTTATATTACACAGGTTCGCGCAAAGTTCAAGGGAGTGCAGAGAACCATAGCTTTAATGCGTAATTCAGACCAGAAGCTATTACGGCACTACCAAGGTCAATCTTGGCAATGAGAGCTTTAATGTTAATTGTCACAATTCTTACGAAACAAACCTGAAGTTAGCGATTATTCAGTTACGGCAAGAAACCAGCATGAATTTATAGAAGCTTGTGCTCAAAAATAAGTGATGTGTTTATTTTCGAAAACATAGAACACGCTACATAAGTTTGTGGGTTATGTCAAATAAAACTTTGCCCTAAATATCAGAGAGTGAAGCCACTTTTGTTATATTTAAGAGAGAATAATTAGGTTGAGCAAGTTTGTCTCTGCTCTTCTAGACGCTGTACCATTCTCCCGAAAGCATTAAATTACCAACATATCATTTACAATTACATGCTGTGGCCTTGATTTCGGTACACCCGCAAAATAAAATATAAGAAAAAAACAGTTCCTTCCAAGATATTGCCCCGGATTCGAAATATTCCTTTAATTATTCCACAATGATACATTTGAACCAAAGTACAAAATCATCAAAACATTTCGGTAGTATGGATACCTTTTGAGTTGACCATTTGGTATTTAACATATCACCACCCGAACAAATTGACGTTTTATAAAGAAATCTCAGGGTTAACGAAAGCAAACTGGCAGTGATCGTTTTCACTGCCAGTTTGTTTCACCTTCCCCTTCGTCACCTTCCCTTCGACATCACCAGGTTCGAAGGAGTGTATCAGCGAATACCTTGAAGACCAATACCGGAATCTCCCGCGGCGCGCGGGTGATAACAGATCGCAGCGCCCTTGGAGAGCCTGGAGACTCCACTACAATACAAACTCCTCGAAATGCATTGAGTTTGACTCTCTCCACACGAAAGAACCAACGAAAAAGCATCCCAATATTTTCCCGTCTCTCTGGTTGTTAAAAAAATTGTTTGCCATTTTATGAGTGAAGGATGTGTTCTTCTTGTGAAAAATGTTTTTCCGGATTTATAAGGCGCAGTTCTGTCTTTTGTAGCTAAGAAAATATTCTGATGTTACAATTTTTTTAAAGTATTAGAAACAACGAATCTATACTGAAACGACTCAATATTAGTGTTTCGATCAGTCAATATGTCTTACCTTTGCTATTGACATATTGAATTTTATGCATATCCTGCTCAGTTGACAATATGAATAAACAATCTGGCTAATATCCTATCGATTACCACCACAGCTACAAAACTAAAATGTACCAGAAAAACTTATCAAATTATATTCACTACCATGATGTCAATAGGTTGCTTGCGGACGAGTGTGCACATAAGGCCTGAGGTCATTACCGAAATCGATGGGCACGTACACTTAATTAACAAGAAATGGAGTTTGAAAAAAAAACAAAAAAACGTACCACTTCTCACGTATATGAGAAAAAATGAAAGCCGTTTACAACTCCCTGTAACGCCGAATTTGAGCGCAGCTCTTGAGGAGGAGGGGGGAAGGGTACTGGGGGGGTGGGTAAGTTACCTGGGGGGGGGGGGGCGGGAGGGTCACGTGACCTTGAGGGAGTCACGTGACCTTGTGGTGTCGCGTGACGTTGGGGGTGACGTGACGATGTCGACGACGTCATCAGAGACGATCATGATGGGGATACCGATGACGTCATTAGTGACGTCACTGATGACGTCATCAGTGATGATAACGATGCGGATGCCGGTGACGTCATCAGTGACGTCACTGAAGACGTCATCAGTGATGATGACGATGCGGATGCCGGTGACGTCATCAGTTACGTCACTGTGACGTCATCAGTGATGATGACGATGATGATGCGGATGCCGGTGAAGTCATCAGTGACGTCACTGATGACGTCATCAGTGATGATGCCGATGACGATCCGGATGCCAGTGACGTCATCAGTGACGTCACTGGTCACGTCATTAGTGGCGATGACGTCAACGGGGTCACGTGACCTAGGGGGAAGGGTATCCCCAGGTCACGTGACCCCGGGGGGGTCACGTGACCTGGGTCGTGACCATCGTGACCCTCGTGAGGGTAACCCTAGTAACCCTGGTGAGGGCAACTCTCGTGACCCTCGTGAGGGTAACTCTCGTGACCCTCGTGAGGGTAACTTTTCAAAACCCTCGTGACCCTCGTGAGGGTAACCCTCGTGACCCTCGTGAGGGTAACCCTCGTGACCCTCGTGAAGGTAACCCTTTTGAGGGTAAGTAACCCTCGTATTCCTCGTGCTCCTCGTGAAGGTAAACTTCGTGAGATTAACCCTCGTAACCGGCGACGGCGACGCCGCTCAAGCCGGGAACGGGCGCCTAAGAGCTGCGCTCTAAAACAGCCGTTATAGCGCGAATTTGAGCGCAGCTCTTGAGGAGGAGGAGGGAAGGGTACTGAAGGGGGGTCATGTGACCTCGGGGGGTCATGTGATCTCGGGGGGTCACGTGACCTTGACGATTACGATCCGATGACGTCATGAGTGATGATGACGATGACAATGCGGATGCCGATGACGTCATCAGTGATGTCACTGATGACGTCGTCAGAAATGATGACGATGACGATGCGAATGCCAATGACGTCAACAGGTTGCATGCAACCTGGATTGCATGCAACAGGTTGCATACAACTCGATGTATGACAACTGCATGTAACAGGTTGCATGCAACCCAGGTTGCATGTTAGTTGCATGCAACAGGTTGCATGCAACTCCTGAAGGAACCCGAGGTCCTCCCGAAGGAACCCGAGGTCCTCCCGAAGGAACCGGAGGTCCTCCCGAGGTCCTACCGAAGAAACCCGAGGTCCTCCCGAGGTCCTTCCGAAGGGACCCGAGGTCCTCCCGAAGGACCTCGGGTTCCTTCGGGACGACCTTGGGTTCCTTCGGGAGGACCTCGGGTCCCTTCGGAAAAATGTACCCATAATGCATCGCGCGGTTACGCCGACGGCGACGGCGACGGCGACGCCGCTTAAGCCGGAAACGGGCGCCTAAGAGCTGCGCTCTAAAATGAAACTCATTTGCAATAATACCATGCACGCATTCCGCCGATGGCTAACTTACCTTACGCACCATAAATGCCAGCACTCGGAGGACGTTCTCGATACTGAGTTTGTTTTTCTATTTTTTTTTTTTTTTTTGCTTTTTGTCTGATTTGTTTAGGCGCCGCTAAGCCGCGGTGTCTTTTCTTCTGTCTGCCTTCATTTATTTTTATTTTGCCCCGTATTAGGGCGGCTAAAGTCATCGGGCTGTTTATTTTATTATGACTTTGTTCTCTATGTTTTCGACTTTTTCTCAGCCACATGGTTGCTCACAAACGACAGTCGACTGCTATGTAACACCCGTACTCATGATTGCGATTCTTTGGGCGCCGAGGCATTTCTGCCGTCTTAAAGCTTGCTTTTATTTCTCGATCCTTTTTGATTTTTGTTTTACAAGGAGCTCTCGAAATGCCTTCTCTGTTTTCAGTTGCGCTTTATTCTGACTGTTGCAATGCACGCCCAGTGTTTCTACAGACATTCTCTTTGCTACTTTTATTGTCTTGTGGTTATGTGCGTGTGTGTCTGTGGGCACGTTTTCTACTGGTCGGCTTCCGATATAGTAGATATAGCTCTATAGCGATACAGTGGTATCGCTTCATAGCTACATTGTCTGGGCCGACTGGCGAGCTGATTTTGAAGTTAGGGCATTATTTTGTGATCACCTATCTTCAAAAGGCGACATGACAATATTATCGAGTTCTACCTTTCGCATATTTCCGTGCAATACCTGAAACGATATCCTCTAACTTAGGCAAATTTGTGTTCAGATTGTTTCGTGCTGAATTGCGTAATGCGCAGAATTTCTCTTCAGACAAAATTTAGCACGTGTTGATTGTAAAGGGCAATAGAATGCGCATGTGTCAAAAGCAGGTGTCAAAATGCACACAATTGTTTAAGTAACAAGAGTGCGTCGTGACCTTAAAATATGCGGCTGAAAGGACCTTGGTGACGTAAATCCAGAACGACGTAGAAAAACCTTCGGGATGCCTTGTACATCTGAAAAATAAAACAAGGAAAAACGACGTATATTTTTTTAGGGTGTACACAAAAGTGAATGAGGCAAGTGAATGAAGGAATCGAAGCGAATGAGTAAATTGAAGAAAAGAAAAGCAAGATAAGGCAAAGAAGCTGAGGCAGCACACGTAGTTGGGCCTATATCAGAAAAGCAGTGGCAGAAAAAGTTTGAGTGATTGTCCACTTTAGCGAATCTGTTCCCAATATTGTCTATGCCATTATATAAAAAATTTAGGGATGGCCGAGCTTACACATTGACCAACCAATATTGGAAATACATTCGCTTCAAATGGGCAATCATGGGTTGTCAGTTCCATTCGCTCGCGAATATTGGATGAACACTGGCATAAAATGGGCAATCTTGGTTTGTCAATTTCGTCGGCTTGCAAATATTGGATGAACACTTGCATAACATGGTAAATCTTGGCTTGACAGTTCCATTGGCTTGCGAATATGTGATGAATACTGGAAGAAAACGGTCAATGTTGGCATTTGAATGCCCTTTGCGTGCTAACAATGAACACTGGACTAAACTGGTCATCGTTGACCTGTCAGTAACATCGACATTCCAATATTTGATGGCATAAAATGGACACTGTTGGCTGGTCTGTACCATTGGCTTGCCAGCGCTGGAAAGACACGAGCTTATAATGGCCATTGTTGGCCTGTGAGTAGACTGTAAAA